ATAAGCATGGAGGACTCGCTCTTCCTCCAAGGCCTTGTCTGCATTAGGGGTTGACCCCAGAAGCGAGTGGACCACTGCTGTCGCAGCACTAGTCTGATCCCTTAGCACAGACTGGCAAAGCTGTTCTGAGACACAGTTCATACTGGTGCATCTGCCAAGCAAAGGTGCCAGTGTGACAGCTTTGTCTGTTTGCCCTGGCACTAAGAGGGATGTGGCAATGGGGTGAAATCTCTAGGCAGACCTCCAAAACGCATGGCCGCATCTGCCGATCTGCGCTGCCCTCCTTCCTTGGACCTCGGTGGAGCTAGGCTGCTTTACGCCACCGGAGGATTTTGTCCCAAGCATCTGCATTCAGGAGCAGCACTGCTACATTTGATGCTAATTAGCAGTTTCAGCAGAGAGGCTGAGAAGGATGTACTAGCCTTTCTTCTTTGGAGGAGGTCCCTCCGGCAGGTCAGAATGAAGGCAGGTTGGTAGGAGAGCTAGTACTCCCTCGGCTATCCCTGTTGGTAAATAAAGAACCACTGGTTCTAGGGCAGTTGGTTTGCTACCTTTCATCATCACCGTACGGCATGCAATAATTAGCAAGGGCCTGAGTCTGAGAAACTTACTTCCATCGCTGAGCGCTTACTCACACCTATTGACTTTGAGAAGATGACTTGTGGGAATAACTAATAATAGCTACAATCTTTTTTTTCCAGTCTTGCATCACCCGAAAATGGCTGCATTAGATGTTTTTCAAACTTTCCAACAACAAAAATTTTCACCTTGGCCAGCGAGCGAGCCTAGAAAATTTCAGCACCCAGAAAAGGGTGTTTTCGAAAGCTATGAGTCAGTCAAAAACAGGAGGTGGTAACTGCAATGTGTTTTACAGACTTGACTACAATGTGTGGTACTTGAGGGAGAAGATAACATGGCAGTGGTTTGGAGGCCGTACGTGGCCATCCATTAATGAACCCAATGTATCAAATCAGAGTATGTCTCACATCTTATGTATTTATGCCATTTGGAGTGGGAGTATCTACACAGCCACTTTAAGGTGTAACACTTTTGTTGGACCTCTAATCGCCTTGCGGGTCACTTGCAGAATTGAAGTGAGCATTTATTTCCCTTTTGAATATAGCAAAATACTTCTCCAGAAAGCAAGGATATTCAGCCTTAGGAAAAGTTTTAATCTCAACTATAAAATGCCCTTAAAAGTCGCTCCCGCCATGTGCAGCCTGTCCCTGGACAACTACAGTGTTTGAGATTAGAACTCTCTTTGCAACTATTTTATTCTGTGTAATCTTTGAAAATCAATTGTGGAGTTTTGTTTTGACTCAGCAAGGAGCCTGAGCCGCTGTGTGTTTTTTTAAATAGCAAAAGAAAACAGTGCTTACCAGAATTTCCAGTAAAACCCATTAGATTTAAGCAATTCATTCTCCAAGTATGTGTGGGATGCTGGGAGCTCCCTGGTCTGCTCGGGCAAAATAGCCCAGATGGACTTCATCTGTAATAATTTAGCTCCCAGTGGCTGGAGCTCTTTGCTCTAAATGCTAATAGAGTGAGTAATCAGAAACCTACATCCAGTAAATTATTTATCTTATCTCTGGAACTCAGCAAAGCATCTCAGCCAGCGACTTCTGTGGAAAAAAATGTTGGTCAAGAACCCCTGCTGGAATCTCCACTTTTACTAGAAAAGGGAAAAGTTCAGACACCAGTTTGCCTGCATGCATCAGGAAGCAATGAAGTAATGACAATAATAGCCAAGACCTATCCAAACCAACTTCATCGGAACAGTAAAATGGGTCTGGCTTGTGTTGCTGATGCCAGCCTTGACAGGCACTGTTACCAAACAGTCCTCTAATACTAAAAGTCAAGCAGCCTTGTACATTTTTTCCCTTGGATTTGGACCAATAAAAGACGCATCTTGTTCCCATAGAACAGATCAGAAATGGCCTCAACTGCTCACGCTACATTCCTCCCTTTGCCAATGCAAACAGCAAGTTCGTCTTTTGACTCCACTGCCATCATCGACCGATGGCAAGTATACCGCCTCCTTTAGCACGGTACATAAGACGCTTGTAATCATGCATGTATTTATCCCCACAAGGTAGGGTGCCATTATCCCCCTTTTACAGATGGGAAACAGCAAGGCTAAGGGGTTTGCCCAAGGTCAAACAAGAAGTCTGAAGCAAAGCAGGGGACTGAACATAGGTCACCTCTTTGATTTAGTCTCCTTTCCTCATCCCTTTCTCTCTGTTCAGAGAGGCTGTATCCCAACTACCCTTCACACCAAACATATTGCCCTACTGTGCCAAAGCACAGTGAAACAACCTTCAAAGCAACCAGCCTTTGCTTTTCTCAGAAAAACCCTGGGAGCAGTCATCTCTCTTCAGCCTCTTGCCTCGCAGTATTTCTGATCCAACTCAGACTGATTTCTGCACCAAGAAACAATTGAAAATAACCTTCTCTACATAGCTGTGGACCTGTTCCACCCTGTTGACCCAGGCTGAGTCAGTCTCCTTATACCCTTTGACCTCAGTGCACTGCATGACACTTCCTTCTTGGAAAGCTTTGAACAAAACACTGGCATTGCTGGCTTTCTCCTCACCTGGCTGACATTGCTGCTCCCTCTGTGCCCACTTAGTCCCCGGTACTCCAGCTAGACTGCATGGGGAACCTCAAAGCTCTCTTCTCACCCACCTCCTTATTCCAGTCTAGCACCTGCCATTGTTTCAGTCTAACCCTGCCTATATCTATAGGGCTATGATACCTGACTCAACACCTTTCAATTTTACACCGACTCCTCTATCAACTTCCTCTCTCCATCTGAACTTCCTTCTACAGAAATTCAGGAACTTCTGCACCAAGGCTCTCCAGAGCAAATGCAGCATGAACTCCTTGATCTTCCGTAGTATTTTCTACTGCCAAAGACAGCGGCCAAGTTATGGAGGAAGGGGAACCATACCGCTTTCTAATTTTTGGAATATTTTGTGGAAAGCCTCAGGCATTATGTTGCATCATCAGCAGGAACATCTCTTTTTTTCTACAGAAAGAAAGCAAGAAGAGGATAGGAAAAAAGCAAGAGGACATGAGTGACTGGTGCCTCCTGAATGTGGTGGGGGGGGCACCCGCAGAAGCCACTGACAGTGGCATCCCTGTTGGGGGGGCGCCAGCCATACTGACAGTATCAGTGTTGGCCATCGGGGGGGCACCAGCCCTGCCGGGGGGGCACGTGCACCCCCTACCAGTCACCTGTGCAAGAGGATATCCCACTAAATGCATGGCACAGAATTATTCCAAACCAGCCCAGCAGAATTTCCCAAATGAAATTCACAATCAGACTGAGCAAAATTGAGAACATTCAACCAAAAACGTAATCTCTTGCAACGTCCTGGATCCCGCTGGTGTTTGAAGGCTGCTCTAACTTGCGCCTACCATTCCTAATGCAAGGGGATACAGGGTTTCCCTCGCCAGCCGCTGGGGTTAGGCTCTTGAAAGTTCCCGTGGTTGGCAAAACCGTGGTTGGCAAGACAAAAGGCTTATGGGAAAAATGGCAGGTGGTGGGCTGACGCACGGCCACGGAAAACCGTGGTTACTCAAAACTGTATACCGTGGTAGCCAAAATGGTATATAGAATATTAAATGTGGATACTCAAAACCGTGGTTGGGGAGGGAAACCTGTATTTCAGCTGCTGAGAATAGCTGGGACACAGAGAACGCCTCACTCTTGCTCCTTTGTCCTGACCGAATCCCCCACACTAATATTCAAGGAGGAAAGGGAGGAGAGCTGCTATACCAGCCTATCCTACCTGAAATTCTTGCTAAGAAGGAGTAATTTGCAGTATTTCCAAAAGAGCAGCTTCCTAGCAGGGCAGTTACGCCGGAGAGATTCAAAGCAGCCAATATCGGGGGTCAAAATCTAGATCCTAATACCACTACTATGAAATAGTCATGTAAGTTTAAGAGGATCTAAGACCTGAAAACATGGACAAGGACTAAATGAAAACTGGCTTCTCCACTGCCTTGCTTGCAGTCAGGTCTACAAGATGCAGTGAGCCCCAACACGTGTTGCAGCAAATTTGCATTCGGTAGTGTTTTTACCCAGCAAAAAAACAGATACAAGGCATGAAGGAATTTTTAGCATGCAATTTATGCTGAGCATCTGTGTTTCATTCACCTTTGCACTGTTTTCACATGATGGAGACCAGTCAATCTCACTGGTGTTTATAGCAAGTTTCACTTTCGGGTTTCTGCAGTGTTTGCTTTGCAAGCACTGCTGGGAAGTGTTTGCTTGTTTTAAAAACAGTTGTTCCTGTTGGGACTTGTTTAAAGTCAAAATATTGCGGAAACATTTCGGCTGGCCTTCGCTTTTGCAGCAGCTCGTTCGTGCAAAACACACACGTGGAGGCCCAATCTGAGATGACATTCGCCCGTTAAAGGCTGCTTCTCTACCTGGATACGTACGAAAAAGTGCATATCGCAACCCTCGACCCTGAACTTAAACTGGGACAGTAAACACCCGATTGCTTTTTAGGAGTGATTTGAAAAAAGACGCAGCCTGCCAGGCTGCAAAAACAAGAGGTGGAGATGTCAGACGCTGCCTCGGAGAAGTCAACCAAGTGGGCTCCATGCCGTTTAGCAGATCTTATTTACCCGCACACGTGTATGGTGACAGAGGGTGGTCATCATAGAGAGGCCATCACATTCGGGGTTTCTGCTGTCCTCTATTGATACGAAACGCAACGCCTTTATTTCTCTTCAGGAGAAAAACAGAAGACATAAAGGCATCCGGTTTCATATCGATAGGGGACAACCGGACTGTCCCCTGTGATGGCCACCCTAGGCACACGTGTGGTCGGGCCACAGAACAAGCGGTGCCACCCGCAGGCATGCCATGCGCCTGGGGTTGTTGTGTCTGGAGGCCGCAAGGGATGCAGGGGAGGAGG